ACAAAGTCAATCCTTCTCTTAAGTGGTGGAGGGCATAAAACCAAAAATGCTTGTTTACTATTCTGTGCAAGAAAATTGTATATATTTTCCAATCTTGCTTTCATCGAACCCTCTTGCTGCTGAAGACTGAAATAAGCGTAACGAAGTGGCGCATCTGTTTCCCCCCACAATAACTTTTATGCAGACAGATCAAGATGCCTCTTGAAATTCAAACGTTCCAAGAAGCTGAAATGTCTTCTGCACAATGCGCAAAAAACAAAACAACCCCCCCACCTTGTTAAGCTTTGAAAAAAAGGGAACATTGAAATGCAATATATAGAAAAGGTATGCATACACTTAGCTTATTTTTCAAGAAGTACCAAATTCTATGGGCAGCTTGTGATATGTGGAGAATAAAAACTACCTCTTATGCTTGGCAAGGTCATGCTGTTAAAAAATAAAAATAAAAATGACTACCACATTCTCAAATGGTTGTCTGTGTGGAAATAGCTGGGTAAGTACAGTTGACAAATTGGTGGTGAGGAACTTCAAGTCATACCATACAGGAGACAGGAAAAATTAACCACTTTGAAATCAGGCTTGATAAGGTAAATACAGATGTGCTCAAACAGCCATTCTACATTAAATTATCTTGAGTAGATACCCAGTGTGAAACTGCATGACATAAAAAATCATCTTGTACCGAAGTCAATTCCCGATCCTAGCATTGCACATCTGTAGGATCCTTACAAATCTTTCTGACAGTTCTGCCTAACTAGAGGCAGCAAACTGCAGCATCTACAAAGGCTGATTCAGTGAAAGGCTGTACGCATGTTTACAAGCCAGGTGAGAAACAGTCTTAATTTATCAGGAGAAAACATATGCTCAATGGGGAAACAATTTTCAAGTACTATCCTACAACTATGATAAATGTGCTGAACTCAAAAAGCATGACTAACTTAAGTCCCATGGATTTAGTTGATGAAATCTAACGTGGAAATTTTACCGCTGTGTAAGGGATAGATCCAGGAGTGCAGAATTTTTTTTCCATGTAGTTAACTGGCACAGAGTAGATTTTGGGAGATAAACATTTTCATCCTTTTACTACTCTGCCATAACCCAATCATTTGAACAAAAGAATGAAGAACATGTGCTTTAGAAATAATTAATCTAGGATAGGTACTTGAGTACCCACCTCAGCATAACACTACAGATACTGGTGTAATAGGAAGAGCAAAAGTAATGAATGTTGCACTAGGGCTGTGCTCCAGGCTCCACTCAGCCACGAACTTCACTGAGGTCTTTGGACTAGTCATGGACATTCAGTCTAACCTACCTCACAGGGCTGTTGTAAGGATAAGATGGAAAGGAGGAGGAAGCAAAACAACAAAACTGAGAATGGCATACTTCAGACACATCATGGGAAGGCAAGGCTCAATGGAGAAGACAATCATGTTAGGGAAATGGCAAGACAAAAGACAAGACCATATATGAGATGGACTGAACCTACAAAGGAAGCCACAGCCTTGAACTTGGGAGAGCTGAATGCTCCCTTCCCCCTGCCGACACGACTATGAGCTCCAGAAGAAAAACTCCCAATGGCACCATGTTTTCTGGGGTTGCAGGTATCATAGGGGAGAATAAAGACAACTTTGATAGTTATTATACAGGAAACATACAAATAGTAGCTGTATATTTAATCATTTACAGGTTATTTTCTTTGGTACTACTGAATTACTATCACACAATCCACATCAGGAAGAAAGTTGTTATGTTCAATAGAAATTTTATTTGTATCTCTTCAAGGGTCTTAGAATTGTTGTGGTGCCAACAGGAACTCTGCATGCCAGAACTTCAGCAAGGGTTATGCACTCTACATGGGGCTGCCCTTGAAGACTGCTCAGAAGTTGCAGCTTGTGGAAAACGCAGCAGCCAGTTCAATAACAGTGATCAGACTGTCCGATCGCATAACACTAATTTGGGTCCACTTGCACTGACTGCCTTTATGCCTCTGAGCTCAATTCAGAGTGCTTGCTTTAACCTATAAAGTCCTGTGTGGCTTGGAACCACAGTAGCTGATGCACCATGCTTCCTAACTGCCAACTGTACACTATGGTCCAAAGAAGGGGAGTACCTCCAAATGCTGCCTCCAAGGGAGGCTTGGCCAGTGGCAATAAGGAGAAGGGCCTTTTCAGTGGAAGTTCCCCAGTAATGGAACAAGCTCCCTACTGAGGCCCACCTGGTGCCAACTTTGATATCTTTGTGTCTCCAGGTTAAAACTGTCTACTATGACTGGATATTTAATCAGTTTTATGTTTTACTGGGACATTATATCAAGAGTTTAACAGGACCTGTAGCTTAAGCTACTGTACCATACTGTGTAAGCTATTATAGCTTTTTAAATTTGGGCTTAAAATTTATTGTATTTTGTATCATTTTTATGATGTTTTAATTGTTATTTTATTTTGTACTGCATTTTATCTGCTGTTGTGAACCACCCAGAGGGTTTTGGCTATAGCATGGTATAGAAATATAATTACTACTGTTACGACTACTGATCATAATAAACCTCCCCTTCCTCTCATGCTGTGGTTTCAATGAAAATTGGGCTCCCTGCTCTGCAATTAAATTTACAAATATGTAGGTGCAGTTACTAATGACACATTGAGCATCATGGTTAGCAGCAGTTCAGCATGACCAAGGCACTGTGCGAAAAGTGTCACAGAAAAGGGGGCACCTGAAGAGGGATTTGAAGGTGTTGGCCTCATACCACCATTCTGGGAGTCAATTCCAAGCATAAGGGGCAGAAGCAAAGAAAGGGCAGTGTCATTTGAGGGAGAAGGAGCAAAGGCTATGGCGGGGGGAGTATGTGAATTTAACAGCAGAAGCAAAGAACAGCAAGGCCTTGGAGAGCCTTGAAGGCAAGGAGGATGAACTTGCATGGATGTTATGGCTGTAATGTTTCAAACAACCATGTCCTGTTTAATCGTAAAAGGATCATCTATTAAGTACATGTGAGCACTATCACTGAGAAATAAAAATACAGTTCACATTATATATAAAGTTTAACTGAGTTCATACACACATCCCAACCCATTGTCACACAAACCTTGAACAAACGTGACTTCAGAGTCATCAATCACATTGTTATTGCCAAGTAAATAAAAAAAATCTCAAGTTCACAAATACAAAAGAAAATTTAGAAGCATAAAATATTTCAGCCAGTTCCACTTGTGATATGCCTATCCTCGAACACCCTCAGTGGTGGAGCTTCAACAGCCTCCCATATGTGAACACAAACTGTGAAAGCCATGCAGAACATGTGGAGGAAAGAAGCTTTTCTAGCTAGGGACATGATGATCAGGCCAGATTCAGGCTCCCTTGTGCCTCCTGGACTTCTTTCCATACTGTGCCTGGCCAGGAAGTAAGCTTAGCTAGGTCGAGTCTGCAAATGCTTGGGAATGCTAGCAGCTTTTTTGCTCGAAGTATGTGAAGTGTGCAAAGCCTGCAAGTCATGAGTGCAGAAGTAGAATTCTTCTTCTGCAGCAGTTGCACAGGCAGTATGTGAGCAAGTTGGACACACTTTGAGTTGTTTCCTGATGGGTAATAAAAATGATCAACCAATAATAATGAACTGCATTTCAATTTCTTCTCTTAAGGCACATGCTGGGACTTGTAAGTTCTATATAAACATATATCGAATTGCATGCTTATTATGCATCTTTTTGAACTGTATTCTTCCTTATTATTATCTGTTATGTTCATGGTATTTTATCACTTGAACATGAATTCAAAATGGCGTAAGAATGACCTATAAGAATTGGCATGAGACCTTTCTCGTATCATTATTAGCAACTGTTTCTTCTAAGCAACTCTGAACATATTATTTGCATTATTTGGAAGTTATTTTAACAGGCTATGGTGTAGAAAGAGGAGGTATCTATCACCTGATAGCATTGTGAGCCATTTTACACAAATCCTGGTCAGCAACTGATGTTGCTGAGGAATGAAGGATTGTGATGGATAGAAGTCCAAGGCCCCACTCCACCACTTCATCCAGTCTGTTGGTAAATGTGGCTGCCAGAGATGTAACACGATGCATTCACGCCTCTTCTTTTCCCTCCAGGGCCAGAGGGTCGTATTTGGGTTCCAGAGGACAAATGTAAACAAGCCCATCCAACAAGCCCAGCACAAAGCTGAACATTCCCATTATAATCTCATTCCTAGGCAGGTCCAGTTTCTAAGGGTAACAGAAGCCTGACATACAGATCAGTGGAGGTGTAGGCACCCCCTTGAATTCTGTCCACAGAAGCAAGTGCTGATAAAAGCTTTACCTGCCAGATGTTGCCAGGTAGTTGTTAAAGGCATAAGAGCATTTTATTTTAGTCAGTTTAGTAAAGCTGTCTTGCAGGCTAGAAGTTCTGGTGTTCTGTTATGTAGGTTTTGCAGCTTTGCAGATCATGACGACTACAGCAAAATACTGTGGAAAGGCCGTGCTGGATTTAAACTAGTCACACAACAGGAAAGGAGCAGAGCATAGAGAAAATAATACCCAGAAGGTGTTGTGAAATAAGCCAAAGGGTCAAGGTATGTTCCACTTGTTTATTTCTACTTGCTTCCAATGTTCAAGCAAGTTTAGTCCCTGAATATGATTTATGATCAGCAGAGTGTTAACTGCTATGTCATACGTGGCGAGGCAAACACCTACAGGCTAAGGCAAACTAAACATTTATGGTGTACCTCAGAACACGTTTGACAATTAAAGTTACTTAAATTGTAAAAGTACAAATCCTGTACTTTCCTACCATGCATGTGTAAGATCCATTCCTACTGAGCTTCAGAGGGTGCAATTTTCCTTCATTTTTAATCACCGAGGACATTAAAGCACTAAGAACATTCAGGCAAGGGTAAAATTTGCCTCTAATGTATCTGAAGTCCTTTTGCGAATATTGTGCCTATGTTGCCATGACAACACCAGTGCATTTCAGAACTCAAAAGCAACAGCCCTTTTTGATTCTCACCTTTGGCCATTTTATTGAGAACCATGTCAATTAGGATGTAGGTTCCACTTCTTCCTGCACCATCACTACAAACAGACAGGGAAAAAAGATACAGCAATCAATTCCGTGTGCAGAAAAACCCAATAGAAGTCTAGCAACTGTTAATATGATGTTGGAAGTATAAGATAGTGGGGGGGGGGTTGCAGGGAGGCAAAGGGCACGGAAGGGCAATGTACAATTAGATGGAGAGAGAAAGAAGGATTTAACAAACTATCCATACAAGCATAAGAGAAGGTCCATGTCTCTCTGCATACATATATACTTGCTTTTCAAGATAAATTTACTTTCTTCAAGACAAATATTTGCTCATTTCAGGACAACTTATTCCAATATTTTAAAAAGTAATGTACCGAATAATTTTAGAAGCCTACATCCATGTTCAAGAGCTGGTTAATCGGGCTGCAACAGAAAAACTGAAGGATGAAACAGCATCGTTTCCCAGTGACTGCTCTGTCTGGTGTTTCCACTTACAGGAATGTTGCTGGCTTTGTGAGCTGACCTTTCAATCACCTGCCTCTCCTTACAATGAATTTTTTTTATTATTATTTAAAGATCATATTATTTCCTTACCAAGTAATTGGATACCAGCTAGCCAGGCCTGGATTTTTTTAAAAAATGACATGCTGCCAGCTATTTTTCCCTTTCATCTCAATACAGACGCTGTTGCCGTAAGAAAGAAAGAAAGAAGTCATGTATCTTCTGAAAGGTATTTTTAACACCTAAAGAATTTTGGAGATTTATGATTGAGAAGGGCGAGGATGGCAAGATGTTCAATCTGAATGCAGTTTACACTGCTGTCAGAGGGCAGCTTGTAATTGGCAATGTGATGATTTGTGTCTCTGTTTCTAACAAACATAATTAAGATTTTGAGCAATCAATTTTTCTTACCCCTTTCTCAGGTTTTAACATGGTGCTTTTCTGGCAATGTTTGCTTTAAATGAGAGCAAGTGAGATCACTGGAAGTGATTTGTTTCTGTAATTTTCTTTACCTACAGAAATTATTGAAGGACTGGAAGGGGAAGAAGACACCAGAATGCTACTATAGTTTTGAATGCATTCTGATTTAAGTATAATTTTCTAGTTCAAATTTTTCAACCACGGATTTAATGATGCAAGAGAACCACAAGGCAAGGGGTTTAGTGTCAACTAAAACTATGTAACACGGACATAATAATTTACATAAAACTAAGAAGTCACATGTGTCTTCCCAATTACAACAAAATAAGCAGTGCTACTAAGGGCAAATTCAGACGTTAATTTATTGGAGCTTTGGAAACAGCTTGATTCCCCAAGTTTATACCCACCTGAGTCTCAAAACTCAGTGAGAGCCAGTGTGGTGTAGTGGTTAAGAGCATGGGACTGGGACTCAGACAATCTGGGTTCTAGTCCCCGCTCAGTCATGGAGCCAACTGGGTGACTTTGGGCCAGTCACAGACTCTCAGCCCAGCCTACCTCACAGGGTTGTTGTGGGGATAAGATGGAGGAGGAGATGCAAGCTGCCTTGAGTCCTTTGTAGAAAAAATGCAGGATATAAATCGATAGATAGATAAATAAAACTGGCATGAGTTTCTGGTGATAAATCACAACCTATGTGCTTTTCTTTCCTGCAGTAATTTCTCAACTGGCTTACCAAGCATTCCTTAAGGCCAGAGTGCTAAATAATGCACTTGTTAGAAGTTTATTTCTAGTTAAGAATCCCTTTGTCTCGAGTGTCTCTCTTCTAATAGCATGTTTAGAAAGGGGAGGTCTTTTTCCCCTCTTGTTTTTGGAAACTGGAGATGAGAGGATCCCAAGTAAATATAGCCTGAATTTCCCAGTTTGAACATTTCATAACAGATCACATCTGAAATGCATGTACTGTACTCTCTACACATGAAGAATATGTTGTTCTATATTATATAAAACTGTATTTATAACAACAATAATATCTTTTAAAATGTATGTAAGATGACCTGTAAAGCAGGTAATACTGAAGTTATGGAACAATTCCTTTGCTGAAGCAGAGGGACTTGGGGCCAAATTACATATCCTGCTTATGTCAATGTAGCTGATTCTGGAGTAATGGTCCAGAATGGGACCATGGTGCTTGAACAAAAGGGTTTGAGCTTCCCTCACCTGTCATTTTTCCTGAAATCCTACCACTGCTTTTGCCAATTTTTCAAAGTAGGGGATTCAAACCCTCTTCTTCCAATGCATCATGGTCCCAATTTAGATTGGGATCATACATAGTGAAAAGAAAATAGAGAAGAACAGTAAAACGAACAGGGAAAAACAGCATCACTAGTTATTCTTGTGTGATTACTGGAACAAGTAGTTTGGATCTTAGCGAACAGTTATTCAGCAGCTTGAGAAGCAAGTTTCTGTGGTGGTCCAGACTGGTTAATTCTGAGTAATTTAAGCAACAAATATATTTTCTTAAAATAAGCAGATTTTCCATCTGGAATATGAGTCTCTGCATTTACTAGAAACTAATCTCAGCAGAATGCATGTTTGATCAAAACAATAAGGTTTACCATTACATTAATGTACAGGACTATTTACATATTTGGTAAGGTTTGTGCAATTTCCTTATCAGCCTTTCCACGGTTGGCTTTAAAATTATACTTGCCTGCAATGAACAATTACTGGACAAGAACGACCCCTGTAGCACTTGTTTACTTTTCTGAAATAAAAACAAATATAGACATTAATATATTATTTTCTCAGAGGCATAGGTTGCAGTCAAAAATAAAATATTTACCACAACCCAACAAAAGATGGGTAGATTAACTCAAGAGGGTATAATCTTCAAAGCAGTACTCCCAGTGCAGTCTTGATGAAATCATTAGGGCAATCAGTGCAATCTTCCTAACACTGCTCCTACACAAGATCCATTGGAATATAAAAAGATTTCGCTGAAGGCACAGTGCTTGGTAGATTCTGCCCTAGGCCAGCGCACACATTCTAATAACAGCCGCTTGCTTTAGAAGACACAACCAGCATTGCTACCATTTTTTGTTTCCTTCTCACTACACCAAGTCACACACACACACACCCCTTAGAAACATATGATTGACAAGGTAGATCATGTAGCCATTCATGCTCAGATACTGGGCATCTTCACAATAAACCACACTGTGCACACACATTTCCTCTTGAATTCGTAAGTTAAACCGAAAAAACTGTTTTCATACAGTGCAATAAGGGCACTCTTTTTCCTCATGCATATAATGTAAATGAATGTTAACCCGCTATCAGCCAGAATGCAAGTTTTATCTGTAGACAATCTCGTTAATGTTACACAAGTGTGAACAGAGCAGTGCATGCCTTTTCAAAAGCGAGCATCTATCCAAATAGCTGTCCAGCAGGAAAAGAGAAATGGGAGATCAAAGAAAGGCCTTCCTCTCTTTCAGCTGAACACCTGACTGGCAAGATTTAGATTTTGAAAATCAGATATTCATGTACAGTCCTGGCTGCTGCATTGGGGGTTGGGGAACCAGGTGCACACAACCTGCTTGGTGTGTGCAGTACTTCACGTAGCTAACAATAACACAAGAAAGCCCACTTGTGCATGTGTCAGTTTTCCTGGGTGGATCTGAAGACCTTTCTATTCCTCACCAGTCCGTTCATATGCATGCAAATGGCATGAGATTGAGAGATTTTTTGACAGTCAGAAAATCAGCTATTGCAGAACAAAAATACACAGCTTTGAATTCACTGTCCTGAGAGCTCCATGCTAAATGAATAGTATATAAAGCCTAAAACAAACAAATAAATATTTGTTTTCGAGCCTGGTATCAGGTGAAGAAACCCTCCTTTCTTAAAGCAAGTACACCAATACAGTAAGATACTAGTTATATGATTTTCCCCTACCTACAAATGCCAGAAAAGGATCAAATGTCAAATGTTTAAGCAGTGATGTAGGGCTGGAAATATTTCCAGCATTTTAATTATGTGTGGAATTTTCCCCATTAATTAGCAACAATGAAGGGATCTCAATTGCAAATACAACATAGGCAAGCTTGGCAGCATGTATTGTGTCACTGAAATACATAGTTCATAGTGTGGAACTAAACAGAAAACCTAAAGGGACAGGCTCACACAAGTGCTGTGGGTGACACCAGGTTGCCAAATGAATTCATTTCTAGGACAGGCTACTGCCTGCCTGATCACAATGCTGGAAGTGATTCTGAGAAGAAATACAAAATCAGGGAGGCCTCCAAATGAGGAAGCATTATACTAATGGATGCCTCCAATTACCCCCACATTGATTGGATAATATATGTTCCAGTCATTACAAAAATTGCTTTTCTTGATGTCCTAAATAATGGTGCCCTAGAACAGCTGGTTGTGGAACTGAGCGGAGAGGAATAACCTAAGTGGTGCCATCCAGGATCTGGTATGAAATTTAAATGTTGAACCAACTGGAAACAGTAGCTACAGAGCTATCAGATTTAGGATGCAATTGTATAGGGATGCCCATAAGTGCCTGAATTTGGGGGCTCAATGGACTTTCATGCAAAGCAGAAGGTACGGCAGAGATGATCTTTGCCTCCCTGCTCTACCCACTCTACATTTTCTCCAGCTAACCATTTTTGGCATTGAAAGGAGTGACTTGAAGAGAGAGGGAAGGAAGCTGGAGGGCCATCCGAATATTTGATAATCTGACCATGTGTCTCTTCCTGCCCACCTTCCTGCTCTTTTTTGACCCTGTCCATGTTTGTTTTCCTGCCCTTTCTGAGCAGCTGGTATGGTCATTTTGAAACCTGCTGCAAGAAGGGGGTTGGAACTTCAATTCCCAGCTCCAAGGTCACAGCACCTTCTCTGACCTTGGAGATGGGAATCTGAACTAACCTATGTTCCCACCCACCCCAATGTCTAGGATTCATAGGATTGTTCCTTAAAATATATTTAAGGGAAAATTGCCAAGCAAGTTCAACGTAGTCACATTTGACTTCAAAAGAAGAAATTTTTCTAGAATGAAAAACATGGTAAAAAGGAAAAGGTAAGGCTTAAAGAAAGAGGCTTAAAGCTCTTCAAAATGTTTGTAGGTTAATCAATACTGCAATAATAGAAGTTCAAGTAGAATACCATAGATTAAGAAAGGCAGTGCCAAGACCAAAAAGTCACCACAAGAGCAAGGTTAAGGAAACTATTAGAGAAAAGAAGGTTCCCAGTCTTGCTCAAACTAGGAAAATAGAATGGGACAAATGAGATACAAGCAGACAGGCAGAGATGCAAAAAAGCATTTCAAGGAATCAGCTAGGGAGGCAGCAGGACCTCTGAACATCAACAGAGTTAAAGGAGTCCTAAAGGAGTACAAACAGGGAAGCTGATAAATTACTTTTACCTCTCTTCACTTAGAAGACTTAGGAGAGATAACTGTGGGTAAAATGATGCTTTCAGGAAGGGAATCTGAGCAACTGAGGCAAATAATGGTAACAAAATGTAAAGTACTCAAACTTATTGACAAATTAAAAGTTGAAATTACCAGGGCCAGATGATATCTATCCAGTCAAATATCAACTGCAAATTGTCTAACTGAAATATATAACATGTCCCTAAGATCAGTCTCTGGTGTTATACTGGCCATTCTCCAATCTTCCAGAACAATTTTTTGAAAGAGTGGTTATCATAATGTAGGCTCTGGGTAAATTGAATGCACGATTAAAGATAAACTGAGTAAGCATGGAGAAGGACAAGCCATGCTGAGAAAGAATCAACACGGCTTTTGCAAAGGCAAGTCTTGTCTCACTGACATTGTCAAGTTCTTTGCAGTGTCAATAAACAGGGTTGATCGGATGGATACTGCTTACTTGGATCTACAAAAGGCTTTTCACAAAGTTCCTCATTAAAGACTTCTGTCCAAACTTAGCAGTCTTGGAATAAGAAATAGCCTAATGGATCAGTAACTCTTTAAATAACAAAAAACAGAGTGCAGGAGTAAATAGTTAATTCTGTGAATGGAGGGTTGAAAACAATGGAGTCCGACAGAGATCTGGACTGGACCCAGTGCTTGTTAGCTTATTCATAAATGATCTGGAATTAGCAGTGAGCAGTGAAGTAGCCAGAGTTGCTGACAACACTAAATTATTTACAGTGGTTGAAACAAAAAGGGATTTTCTGGAGCACCAAAAGGATCTCTCCAAACTGGGAGAATGGGTTTCAAAATGGTAAGCACAGTTCAATGTAAGCAAGTGTAAAGTGTGCATGTGGTGCAAAAAATCCCATCTTCAAGCATAGGCCAACAGGATCTGGTGACGACTCCCCAAGAAAGAGAACTCGGGATTGTTGCAGGCAGCTCAATGAAAATGTCAACCCAGAGTGCAACAGCTGTGAAAATGCCAGCTCCCACGTTGGGCATAATTAAGAAAGGAATTGAAAATAAATTGCCAAGGTCATATTCCCCTTATACAAATCTATGGGTGCAACCAGACTTAAGAATTCCATGTACAATTCTGATCACTGCACCTAAAAATGGTATCATAAAGATGGAAAGTACAGAAGAGGACAAGTAATATGAACAAGAGTTTGTAGCAACTGCCCTATAAGGAAAGGTTACAATATTTGGGTCTCTGCAGCTTAGAAAAAAGAGCAAATGAGGGGAGACATGATAGAGCTGCATAACGTTATGCATGGTGTGAAGAAGGTAGACTGGCAAACATTTTTATCTCTAATGGTACCAGAACCTGGGATCAGTGAACGAGGCTGATCGATGGAACATTCAGGACTGATAAAAGAAAGCACTTCTTTGCACAGTTAAACTACTTCCACAAAATCTAGTTTGGGCCTTCAGACTGGATGGTTTTAAAAGGAGACTGAAAACAGTTACGAAGAATGAGGCTATCCATGACTACTAGCCCTGATGACTATGCGCTGCCTGCAATACGTGGGGCAGTACAGTGCACCTGTGCACGCTGGCAAGCAGCAGTGCGAGCGGGAGGTGCTGCCGTACCTTGTCCTGCTAGTGCTTCTTCATAGGCAACTGGCTGGGAACTGTGTGGATGGAACGTGGGCTAGATGGACCCTGGACTGGTCCAATATGGCTCTTCTGGCGTTGTCATGTGTGCTTCAGAGTGAAATGAAAGCAATAGTCGGGAAACTGAAGTTGTCCCAACAAGATTAGGAGAGCGCTGAACTCTCCTGAGACTGATGAGTAGCTGTCAGCATATTCTGCGGTATTCCTTGGGTTGTTAAAATGAGTGGAGGATTTCCCAGTATGGCACCCTCAAACTCTAATGACTCCCATGCTGACTAGGGATGCTGCGAGTTGGAGTCAAATACATCTGGAGGGCACCAGGTTGGGAGAAGATTAATTAGTGTGTGAAAATTTCAGTACTTTTTCTTACCTTTAAACAATGTACATATTCTTGTTTTTAATTTTTAGTAGTAATTCAGTAAGAAATTCTACATAACATAATATTTCAATCACATTAAGTGTGATTTAATTTTTTCCTTCAAATATTTCGGGCCAAACACTTGCGTATTTCAAATAGCACAGGGTACTGTTTAAAAGCTTTATTGTTTAATAAATATTAAAATGTAAAGTATGTTAAATTAAATAACTCTTTAGGGCATTTGAAAATTTCTGAGGCAACCTGAAACTTTTCTGATGCAAACTAACTTAATTAGCATAGGAAAATCTTCCAATTCCAAGTTTTCCAGAAAGTCCACATCACTACA